ATCTGTATGCAACTCATCAAGGTCGAGTGCAAAATTTTTCAAAGCTTGGCACCATTACTCTAAGTACAGACCCAGGCCCCGGTCAGCACTACTAATATAAGCGTCGGGTGCAAGCGACCAATTCCAGTCTTGCATATTGAGTAGGCATCCGCTAGGACATCCTCTTTGCCTTCTCATCAGACAAGGTGCTCGTCAGCAACATCTTCTGTTCTTGTGCTGAGTAGGGTGTCTTCTGAACATCTGCCTTATCTGCACTTTACATAGCAAGTCGACACGCTTAAACCTCGTTCATAGATGGCTCGACACACTGCCAAGTTTGAGGCAGGGTTTAGATAAGTACTCGTCACTGATCAAATTAAAAATATAGGTGGGGAAATATTCAAACAAATAGATGAATAAATAAATAGAATAAAATCTTATTTGGCTCAGTACAGGAGAACTTCACTTCGAAACTTATTTTTTCCGATTAAACCGCACCTACAAAGATAGCATGACCCTCGCATGAATGCAGCAAGGAATGATGTTAAAGTTCTTCCACCCGAATACTACACTGGATGTTGTTGGGACGGTTTACAGAACAGAGTAACATCTGTTTCGTTGTAGTATTCGAGTGATCAGAGAGGCACTAGAAGATTGCAGATAGAGTCATTGCAGTCAACTAATTTAGCTACAGACGACTGGTTACGATGTCCCAAGCCCTCTCTTACTTATCGCAGGTGAGTCAAGTGTGCTTGCGTCCACTTGTCGATAGTCTCTTCAGATAGACCCTACCGCTTAATCAGCTCAGAACGAGCGTGGGATTCGTCCCCATCAATCATAAATTTAGTGAGTATGTAAGCAATCTCTTTCAGGATGCGTCGTTTCCTTCCCATCAGACATGCACTTATGTTTAGGAGATATCAAGATCAAGTCCTTATTGTATGGAGTAGGGAACCAGGTGCTCGCCACTGATCGTTCCTTTCCATTCCAATCATCTATCTACCAATTTTCATCGGGCGAGAAGTGCAGAACCCTTCATTCCCCTGTGGTCATCCCACACTTTCAAAAAACTTCCTCATATTCCTTCAGTTTGCCATTCACAAATACATTCATTTCTTAACAAATACGTGATCAGTGTTCCTCATTCATGGTTGATAGTAGCTCATAGACAGATTACGATTACGATGAGACTCCAAGCACAATGCATCCGTCGTTAAGCTGGTGGTGAGTGACTGTTCGAAGGTAACCTTGTCTGCCGATCCGAAGACAACAAGCAATACAGTAACTCATGTAGGAGATCAAGATCAGAAATAGTAATCAAGCAAACGTGATAGAGGGAAATCCCTCTTCACTAGCGCCTTCGGCAAAAGTCTCGAGCGGGAAGGGCTCAGAGTTCTTTGAGCGAAAGAAGTTGCACGGTAGATAATAATTCTGCACTCCACCCTCATCCATGTCATTTACCTGGTAGAGTCTCGAACGTCTACGTGCTTCTTCTAATATGCTCACCCTCTATACCAGCCATAACGCTCATCTACAAAGCGACAATCACTAAGATGGTGAAAGCTAGTGAGTATAGTATACCACTCGTGACCAATGCTCGTTGACGTCAATCGTCTCACTCGCTCTTGCATGCACATCATGGAGCATGCACGTCGTCTTCCAACGCAGGAGACATGAGCTGGCAGTGATAGCTAGTGGAGGTGGGTAGCGTCAATAGTTTCTTGCAACCCTTGAAACCCTCATGCATCACGTCATTCCACCTCTCCCTTATCATCACACGAAGCCCTTCACAGTGTCTAATTCAATAGAAATCGCAGATGACGTCAACAATTCCTCCTTGCGCAGTTAGTCCCGTATGTGCACTCACACACGTACGTCCTTCCTTGCACTGGTCACACATGGGGTTATTAATACTTCATTATTACTAGTCTTAGCGTAGCTACAGAGCATGACATGAGTTCGCGCATGTGAGAGGACGCACGGTAGTCCGCCTACTGGCAACTGGCAACATCTCTTAGTGTCTTGTTACGGCCTACGTGATGAAATCGATAGTCACCACAATCTTCAAAGGGAGCTATTGGACAGAGTGAACAAGTCACTCGCACCCTCGGTCTAGCATCTTCCCACTAATTTGAAACCATCCATCGACCGATCTAACCGTAGTTGCCTCTGGCCCACTTCCCCTTGTGTGTTTGTGTCTCTCCCCGCCACGTCCTTTTCACGGTGTCATGGACGAAGGTCGTAATGGGTAATGGCGTCCACCTTTCTTTGGCTCTCGTTCACGCCTGTATCTAAGCCATGTGTTCGCTCTCGACCTTCTCTACGCCAGGGATAGAGGATAGTAGGCCGCACAAAGACCAGATTGAGTGGGAAGACCAAGCGTTGACATCAACAGTAAGTTCTTGAGCAGCGAACGCACGTAAAAAACTGACTCTTTTTTTTTCACCTTCACCCCGATCGTCCGCAACTGCCTCGCGATCGCAGTCTCTTTGCTGGGCCGCGCTGGCCTCTGGGCCGTCCTCTACCGACTCAACCGGTGGATGCTCCCTTCTCCACTGTTCCAGCCCATGCCAGGACTGGGTCAGGGCGGCGCTCTTTTCGGACTTCGCCTCCGACTCCCGGTCCAGTTCCTGTTGCTCCCTCCCCGTCGTGCTCGTGGAAGTTTCTTCCTCATGGTAAGTAACGGTGACTCGCAGTGCATCTCGTCTTCATCTCCGTTCCGCTTTGTTACGAGCCTCGGTGACCGCCCCCTGGACATTTCCATCTTCCCTCATTTCCTGCTCCTTTCCCCCATAGGCGTTGATCTTAGTCTAGCCAGCCTGCCACTCTTGCTGTAACTCAGACAGGTGTCCACCGTAGCTCCCTCTTCGCGCATAGGCTCCCTGCTCCAGTAGAACCTTAAGTGCCCTGGCCTATAGTCAAAAAGGTCGTTGCTATGCACCATAAGTAGACTTCGTTTGATAGACCTTGCACGGCACCAGGCCGCCAACCCAGAATAGAGCGCTAGAGAGCTCACGGTGCAGGCAGAACGCTACCAAATAGCTGGCTGCGAACAGTGCCCTGACTCTCAGGGTGTGGAGAGCGCATTTGGCACTCACTAGCAGACCCATCGCCAATGACTCGCCCCTCTCCCTTTTTATAGAATCGCCACTTACCAAGATCCCCACGTTCTAAGTGAAGGACTCAATTTGGATGACACTTAAATTCTTGTAATGTAATAATTAACGAGAAAATCAATAAACGAATAAAATAAAACTAAATTTAAAATTAAGAAAGGAAACGCGAGGGGAAAACCTTTGTTGTTGACACGACGTGCTTGCCAGTACGATGGTCCCATAACAGGATACCCACCGACCACCTTCCCCTTTTGAAACACGTCATCAGATTACCGCTAATGGGTACCCATATCCGATGGCAAGGAGGGGGCTTATGACCTTCCATGGGAGGTGATAAGCTTCCTACCAACACGGCCATGGGTGCTCCCTTTTGGGGGGGCTTACAGCACAGTACCCAGCTAGACACGACTGTGGGGAAATTGGGACGTAAACGGTCGACAACGGTCGACCAGTCAAGACCGCTCACTCATAGTCAAGGTTCGAAAATGAACCGTTAGTTTCCCCGCGCAGTGACAGAAGGGCCGAATGAGGAAGCAGACTCTAAAGGATAGGCGGTAAAATCAACAAAATTAATAATAATAATAGAGGCAAGAAAAGGGAAGGACATTATAACGCCGCTGCGGCCAGAAGCCGCTAGACCCTCCCGAACTAAAGCAAGGGTCCAAATCAGCGCGCAGACCTGACACACGACTTCCTTTCGCTTTTTGTTTTCCTTTTTTTTTCTTTCTTTCTTTAACTCTTTTCCGTTCGACTATGACAGCAAGACCATGCATCTAACCCATAACCCAGCCAAAGACACCTGACGCGTGCCAAAAAAGACTGCGCCGGTCCCTCTACCTTCGCGTCCCTGGGTGAGCTCGGCGGCTAGCGCGGTTACATACCAATAGTACTCTGCTGTGCAGCATAGCGTTGAGCCTGCGCGGACCAAAGGAAAGTCCAGTGGCGCACCCCCACCCTTTGGCTAGGGCAAGCGTCAGCTGGACATGCCTGCAGCAGAGCGCCGCCTTGAGTATACCTGACGCACTGCAGAAATCCAGTATCCCGTGAAGGCCCATGCAACAACAGGTTCCCGAGCTGGTACAGGTAAGTAGCGGGTCTGAATGAGCATTGGGTAGTCAGCGGAGGGCTGAGACATCGCGCCCTCCCACAACGGGCTACTACAGGAGCACCCAATTCATCCGACTAGAAACATTTCTACTCTTTTTTTTTTCTGCGGCCGATAGCTGGGCTAATAACTAGTGATTTAAGCACATTCGGAACCCGTAGGGCTAACACAGCACGTTCTGGGAGTGTAGCCACTTTTTAAATCGTAGCTTTTTGAATCTTTTATTTGTGTCGCCAAAACCACGAACATTCCAGGTCAGTATCCTGATTCTACTTGGTAGAACCATGACCTGACCCTCTGCCGCGTGAAGGTTGGATTCGGCTCACATTGGTTTTCATTTTTTCAGTACCTCTTCCCACCCCCCTTGTCGCAGTTTCCTGACGGGTGGGGGGGGGAGCGGAAATAATTTCGTTAAACGTAACTGTGAAAGAATCAGAGGAGAAACAGTCTGCCGCATCCGTGTGATACAGCCACAAGGCCACTTCCTGTGCGGTAAGATCTTCCAACAGAGAGATCTCCTTAAGGGTGTCTGAAGATGTCTCCAAGAACCGGGTTAAGGGCACCCAATAGAAACTCTGTAGTTTCAGCTCCTCCATTTCGGTTGGCGAGGCCTGCAATGCCATACGGGCAATGTGCAGGATGACCTTGGATTCCAGGTTCGTTGCGATACCGGCCACGCTTAGGCGTAGGCAACATTACGCAGGAACCATGGTTCCGAAGGAGGAGGGTCTGAGTCATGGACAACCATGCCGCTGCCGAAGGAGGGCCTACTGTTGGGTAGGCCGGAAGGGATAATGTTTCGTCCATACCTATTTTTGTTAGAACCATGAGTCCCCATGCGGACGACGTGATCACCAAGGGGATCGAGTATTCTTTAATAGGTTTTCCTTTTATCTTCCTTCGTGAGAGTCTGCATTGCGCGAGCAGCACCCCCAGGGTATTTGACTCCCCGCTTCGCTGCAGGCTTATCCTTTGCCGGGAGTGCTTCCCCTCCGGCTTTAACCATCAGGGTTGCTTCTTTAGACGTGGAACCCTTCGACAGACTCTTCTTTTTGTTTGCCCTCTGTTTCTTAAGGGGAAAGGCACCCAAATGTGAGAGCGCAATCTTTTCCTTACTGGACCGCCTGTCCCCTGATTTGGGGGTCAGACTGTGACTTCCAACTGAATGGAAGTCATCTAGTTCACGTTCAGGGCCTGATTCAAGCAATTCACCCAGCGCCCCCTCCTGACTGGCTTCTTTTAGTCCGTGCAAGGTCCTGACCCCGAAGTCAGAATCCAAATCCGTTTCCTCGTGTGCCGAGGAATATACCTCATTATCATATACCTGGAGGTTTGAGTTCCGAGCTCGACCCCCGCCCTCAACATCATTTTCCAATTCTCGATCTTCTTCCCCCGAGGACGGAGAGAGGGAAGCAAATCCCTCCAACTCCAGCGGCCTATTACGATCTTTGTGTGCCACTAACTCGTTCCCTTTCATCACGAAACCATGCTCGGGATCGTGGTCCGATTTCCCATCCACCTCCTCTGTTCTATCCTCTGTGTTGCGTTTTTCCCTTGTCAGAGGAGTGCGGTCCTCATCCATCGAAACTCCCTTTTCCTGAGCTTTCGACCCCTCTTCCCCATCCCTACTTCCTTCTTCCTTCTCCACTTCTCCTTTCCCCTTGCCTTCTTTCTGCGAAACCTCGTCCTTGGTTCCCTCCTCTTCCCGTTTTTCTTCCCGTTGACTTTCCCTTTCTTCACTTCCCTTTCCCTTGACCGACTCGTCCCCTTTTTCCTTTGGTGCCTCCTCCTTTTTCCTAGACACCCCCCCTTCCACTGCCTCATTCTCATCCTTTCTCCCTTTTCCTCGGACACCACCCACCTTCCCTTTCCCCCCCCCCCCTTCCTTGGATTTGACTGCGTCGGCATACGAATTGCTTTTCCGGGACAGGCAGTCTGCATCCCCTTCTGAGTGAAAATGTTTTCTGCAAGCCGGGCACCACTGTGTTTCCGCGCACACGACCTCGATTTCTACGTAGCCATCCACACCCAAGTCAATCACCAGATATCTCTTATAACGCAGCCGTGCCTCAGATGCCAAATCAAACCTGACATTCAAAAGATCCGGGGATAGTTTATCTTTAAAAACCCGGTATTCTTTGACCAGGTCGCTCCCATACGCATCCCGTATTGCTCCTGGGAGGAGGGGCAAAACCCCCACTGGCACCTGCTGGCAACAGATCCAAAAGAAACGATACTTTGAAACTTCTCTCCATTCCCACAGTTCATTCTCCGTCATCCACCTTCCAAACGAAATTTTGTGAGAGACGTTGTCCAATACTACCTCTGTATGGGCTATGCAATGCATCCACTGTGCTACTTCCTTCGTTGGCGCCACGTAAGTGATCAGATTTCGGCCCTCATTGTGGAAAAGACCACGTTTAGGAGGGGCTGTAAACTGGCCCGACGAAGCCCAACCATTCTCATAAATTTGCACTATCCGTTTCTTAACATCCGTGGGCAATGAGGACGCATCTCCAAAGCGGATGGTGACTGCGTGCTCCTGTAGCCACTCCGCCCGGAAGTTGTACAGATCCTGGTTTACAGTGACTTTGTGATAGTCATCTCCCACTTCTACCTCTGACGAGGCGAGGCGCGGAGGGAGGACCCCGTCGATGTAACATTGAGCAATAATGTCCCGGATCCGAGTTTTTTCATCCGGAGGGAGAGAGGATCCCTGCCCAGCACATGCCATAGTTAGATTCCTACTGGAGAAATCCTAACTTACTACAGATACGCAAGAAAATAAGAACCGTACTCCGAAGCCCTACTCGTGGCACTGTATTGAAGCTTCCAATTAACTTACGGAAAAAGAACGGTATAGCCTCCCCTTCCCCAAAACCCGGGTTGAAATCGGTGGGGCAGAGACGTTATACCTGCATCGTAGATCGTCGTAGCCTCTTCGTCAAATCGGTTGACGACACCGTCTACTTAGTCGCTCTTCACCGTCGCTTCCACTGTTCACGCCTCTGCGTCATATTACCGGTTCCGCCACTTCCTCACCCACAGTGCTTATGGGCCGGAGCGTAGACCCTCACAGGCTCCCGATATTCCACGGGGGCACTCACCACGGCAAACCGTCGATGTGTGAACGCGCAGGAAACCCTGACCTCGGGATTGCCGAGGACGAAGAACCTGCCCGCAAACCGCCATGGCCTGAGCCGTGCACTGTCGCACCCTCCGTTCCCGGAACGGCCGTTCAGTGTTTAGCGCAAACCTAGCGTCCGCGGCTCCGCCCACCCACAAGGCCACCCAGGTAATTTTACAAGTCCACAAGTCCATCATGATTCGAACTCAGCTCTGGTTATCAACAGTTCGAGGATGTCAGCCGCGCGGGCCGCGTCGCCATTCTCGTCTCGTTGTGCTTAGCGTCGGAAAATTTAGAGACGCCAGTCGGACAACATGCACCCGCCCAGCTGTCAGTTCGGACCCAGTTGTTTATGTGCAAGGCGCCACTACAACATATGCTAAATGAATCTGGACCTGAAGTGGGCCTCAGCACATTGAAGAAATTTGGTAAGTCCGAATGCATCAGCACAAGTACTCATTCCAGATACATTCAAAATGTTGGGTATTGTAGAGCGAGGCCCTATCCCAAATAGTGTCCCAGAAAAAAATAGGGGGGGAAAAGCCATTGTGATGCGGACGTCGTTTGGGAACGCTCGCTCCACTACTCTCCAAATGGGCATGAGACTGCATCCTCCCCCAGAACGTGGAAAGATACATTGTCATTGTTTCGTCCTTTGTGCAGTGGAGAGTAGCGTAGCGACGCCGCTTGACAACGCACCTCCTGATGGGCGCGCGCAGTCCGCGATCGGGTAGTCAATCCTGGGCTAGCTCTCACTTACACGAATTAAGCGATATTGACCGTAGATAGCAAAGATCAACGGCCAGAATCTATCAATCCGCGCAAGTGGGACGTCGCCCCCTGCCGCCAGAAGACCACGGCGAAGAGGGCGGGAGGAGGCGCGGGACGAGGCGGGGGAAGAAGACCCACGGGGAAACACGCGAACCGAGAAGAAGGGCCCCGCTCCACCACTCACGAAATGTGGCAAATGAGGACGAATTTTCCCGTAAAACATGGGAAGATACGACGCCATATTTTGTGTGTGTTGTGCATGTGGCGAGTAGTGGAACGACGCCCAAAGGTGAACGGCGAGCTAAAAATGCAGGAAGTACAAAGTATAGTTCGCCTTACCGAACTGCTATAAACCTACCTCGCAGTGGCCGTATTGCAGGCAGGCCAAGCAGCGTCCTTTCCCTCTTGTCCTCCTTTATGATCTCTGAACTCAATGCCTACCGCCATCTCCTCTCCTCTCATGGCTGTCGTCGTGTAAGCGCCTGCGTTGCACACCGTACTTTGGCCATCGATGCAACGCATGCGGTAGTGTGCCACATTGGCTGATGATAATGTGAATCTGCACCCCAGCGGCGGCGAATTCGCTTCTCGTCTCCAGTCCGCCTCTGTTCTTTTCTTTTTCGACACGTCTCTCACATTACACGAAAGTTTGATCAACACACATACGCAACGAAGAGAGAGAGAGAGAGAGAGAGAGAGAGAGAGAGAGAGAGAGAGAGAGAGAGAGAGAGAGAGAGAGAGAGAGAGAGAGAGAGAGAGAGA